TCTCTTCAGATTAACGGAGAGGCAGTGGAGCAGGTGGAGAAGTTCAAGTACCTCAGAACTGTATTTACTACTGATGGAAGATTGGAGGAAGAGATCGACCGGCGAATGGGTGTAGCCAGCGGCGTTCTGCGTGAACTAGCTCGACCATTGTGACTAAAGCAGAGCTCCGTTTGAAAACTAAACTCTCGATTTTGAAGTCGATCTTTATCCCCACACTTACGTACGGTCATGAATCGTAGACCATCACTGAAAAACTTCGAATCCGGGTACAAGCTGCTGAAATGGGCTTTCTTAGACGAGTCGCAGGGCTGGCCTTACGCGTCTCGACATGGTCCGGAATAGTGACATTCTTTAGAGCCTTGGAATACAGCCTTTGCTTCTCCAGGTTGAGAAGTCACAGCTGCGATGGCTTGGGCATGTGTTGCGAATGCCTCCAAAAAGGAAGGCTAAGCGACTGTTCCTTGCAAATCCGACGGGCAAGAGGTCCAGGGGACGGCCAAGATTAACTTGGTGCAAACATATGGAGGGAGTCTGTTCCAGACTCCATTTGTCTTTTGCCGAAGCTCAGGCTCAGGCACAGGATCGGGAACGATGGAAGCAGTGTCTGACGTGTCTGCTTCCGCGACCCGAAAGGAGAAGCGGCGATGGGAAATGAAGAAGATGACGTTCTTATGCTTGATTAAGCAATTAAGATTTTAGATGGGCGGCCTGAAAAATCTCAACATCTCTTTCATCATAACGGCAATCAAGTGCTAATGATCGCATTAACTTACTGTACGCAGTTTGCTGAAGGAATAAGTGTTGATGTAATAAGTTGCAGGAAGGTATAGACGTCTGAAGTGAAGTTCGCTGTTATCAAACACTTGTTGAGAGTAACTTGAGGCCAAAGGCATCCAAGTTCTGGGTCTGCTGTGAAATTACATACTTCAACAACGTTTGTACATTCTGTTGCTGTCACACAAAAGGGCCTGAAATCAGTCCTTAGTCAAGACACTTGCGAATCAATACTTACGGGCAAGTTGCTAGATCAGGATCACTGCTTATGGTCAGAGTCACCGCACAGTGCCCGCAGAAGCTCAACGGAAATTCAATTAGGTTTTCGCCAAGGTTGGTCACGTAACTAAGACCAAGGGCATCGGCCAGTGCACTGAATATGTCTTGTGTTGAATTCCAAAGGCAAGGAGTCGCTACTTGGGTAGCAAAATCGCAACCTAAAAGTATTAATTATGTTGCACTTAAACGCTAACTTACCGGTCGCAAACCATTATTACCAGTAACGTGTGGGTTTATGTAAAGTACTGAATTCTCAAAATTCAGCATAAAGCCTGTCATTGAAGAACTTGCATGTACCTGATCGGGTCCTTGATTTTCTTCCTTGCAAGACCAATAAACGAATACGTCGTGTGAGAAAGAAACGGAAGATTTCACACTATGCTTGTCAGACAATTGCTGTCATATCTGCCTTTAAAATAAGGCACTACTGATGACATAAAAATGGAGTTCAGAGTCCCACCATTAACTTCATGAAAAGAAGGGCGCTAGAATGGTCCCATGATGAAAGTGTCAGGAACACCGACTTTCCAGCGATTTCAAGCTTACCTTCCTTGCCTCTATGTACCATACTACCTGTTAAGCATGTACTAAATTCTACCTGTTTCGTATTATGCCCTTACTCCTTGATGAATAACATCATTTATAAACTTTTATCACTGTCGTGCCACAAAAACTAGGATAACGTGTGTTTACATTTCCAATCTCACTCCACGTGATACGCCACCATTTGCCATATTAGATTGAATTTCTAGCATAAGTATGACAGGAAAACGGTTAACAGTTTTGTAACTCAACGCATTTTGTCTACAAAAAGTTAACTTCTGGCATCATCAAAACTTACAATATGCTGAAAGGTTGTTACCGTACGCCTGAACCAAGTCATCATCTATGTATAAACGATGTTGTACAAACTGACTTGTCTACGAATATGCCAGAGAAGAATAAAAAATAAATAAAGATAAAAAACAAGAAATTGTTGGATTTGTTGGAGAAGAATAAACATTTTTCATGCCGTAATGATGAAGGAAGCCTAACCAAAAATATAATTTTCACTCAATTGGGCCACTAATTCACAATATCGCATCATGTGTAGTAGGAAACTGCTACGGACTTAAAGTTAAATAAGAGGGTTTGTTTATAATTTCAGTCCTGCAATTCTGCATATATTTATGACTGTTTCAATTTCGATTTGCCGACTTTCTTGAAATTTTACTGACAAGTTATCAATGTTCGAGTATTCAAGTATATTACGCTTCTCAATGTCTTGCGAATTAAGCAGTAATGTGATGGTTTTAATAAAATAACTACGGCCTATGGCGTAAAGGACAAGCGCATCTGGCAGTCGCTACAGTTGTAACATTGTCAATTTTCTTCTTCCCTGTTTTTCTTAGCAATCAGGCGTCGCTACCTAAGCCATTTGCCTTTCTATGAAAGGGAGATAAAATTTGATTAATCATAATTACATCATATCATTTAAATGCGGCTCTTTTCCATTTGCACCAAAGGAGCTTACTGAATTGGAAAGCATGACCGAATCCAGGTAAGTGAGTGAAGCCGATTCGAAACAGTCACTCACTAGACAATGTTTAACACGGTCCGGCAGTCCAGGACTGTGCTTCTTACACTTTTCTTATGTCATACTAATTTACAGTTTATTGAGGAATAGAAAATAAAAGCTAGAATTTTGCTTACGTTAACTTATTGGCAGCGTTCTTCTAATTGCTATTATCTTGGTACTTTTCCTTTGAAATTCTTCACTGAATTTTAATGCAATTCAGTGTTACATTCTTACAGGCTGCAAATCGTTAGCAACAGCACTTTTTCCAACGAGCTTCAATTAACAAGTATTTCCCAGTGACGTTGCAGTAATTAAAGTACAGTTCAACGTTTATCAGACACCTCTAATCGTGAACATACTTGAATGAACTTACACAATGAAATTTGCCTACTTCTGTTTGAGGCCATGTCCATATTCTCAGTCGTAATACACGTTGCGTGCAATCCTGCAGATCTGAGTAGCTATGAAAAATAGGAGATCATTTGCAATGCACATTATAAAGAAATCATCTGAACACAAAGTTAACTAAGGGAAATCATTATTTCCGACAACCTTGAATTTTCTAAACATTATTGACAGCGAAATACTTAAAATGTTTTCAAATGTTTCAAACACTCTTTTTCACTGTTTATTTGGTGTAATCACTAGAGTGAAGCGCACATTAGCAAAATTTTCGCTGTTTAGGTACATTCGCCGCTTTTCAATATTTTTACTGCGAGGAACTAGTTGCCGTATCACAGAAGCGTTCTTCTCAGACACAGATATTCCTTTGCTCTTTTCATTCATGCTGCGTGTTGGCTTCATGGTAGTCCACTGTGATTTGGCTTTCACATAGAAAGTTCGAGGGCTAGAGTAAGAGGCTCCTGATAAAGCAATCTGCTCGACAGGTTCAGTCTTCTTTGATTAATCTCTAAACTTACTGTAAAGAAATGTGTCCGGGGCAGTGTAGAATCGCTATTTACGTGACCTGCCATTCATCCCTCACTATAGGATGAATCCAGCGCTGGTGTACGCCGTTGTGCAGTTGAACAGGTTCGTTCCTAGAGCGAAGTAAGCGAAGTACCATATCGTACAGCAAGCAATGCTTGCCTAACCTAGGTAAAATACAGGCACATTTTAGTGGCAAAGGATATTCCCTTCTCAACCCATATATTTTATAGTCTACTGAAAATGTCAAAAGCAAGGACAATCTTATTGATTATTTTTAAGTGGCTGATACTCTAGTTGGTGATAATACTGATGACGGAAACGAGGTACCTGAAGTAATCAGCTTCGTATATCGCTTCATTTCTCTGTTGCACAAAAAAATTTGAGGCGTGGGGTGGATTTTTATAAATCTTTGTTTCTTGTGTTGGACACAATGACAGGTGTAGCAGCTGCGCTGCATAAGGAAGTCATCAAGTGATTAATCTCATTCCTGTTCCATTCACCAGCGCAGTATTATCTACTTGCTCTAGGTCGGCACAATAGCAGGCCTGATCCTGAATCTTGACCAAGATCTTGAACTGCGTGCCCCTTTAAGCAGGAGACTCACGTCCCGGTTCAGGTCAGCGTTCTTTCATGTGAGAAAGTTGGCAACAACGTTAATAGCAAGATGATAGTAGTCAGGAAAGAGTTAGGCTGCTTTTGTATTATACGTAAACATATAAATTAATATAACCGAATAGATTAAACGAGACAGTTTTTCCCATTCTCAATTTCATACCGTGTGAAATTGCTCTCTTACCATATACTCTTAAGTGCTATTGAAATTACTGCCTAAAATGCGTACGAAGAGGAATAAGATGGCTATTCTTTCCCCTGCGGAACCTGGTTCTGCATGGAATATTGACTTATTAGCATACCTTGGTGTAATAATCCATGCATTTGACAAAATGTGGATGCATGTTCCGAAACCAATTCCTGAAACATGACGACAACAGACAAGGTACAGCTGTAACCAACAAACTAATGCGAGTTAAATCTGACTTCGCGATAAACGGATAGCAATGTTCTAATCACTGAAAGTGGTCTTCATGCAGTATGGTCGCCGATGCACTACGTACAATGGCGTATG